TTCTAATTTGGGGTGTCATCTAATTGCTTAATTTGTCTTGCAATAAAATAAACGGATGGATCGTTGTTGTATTTCCAATGCCATGAAAAGAAATTGAGCGAGAATTGTTTTTGTGAATGATGTTATATTAACATTATGTGACAAGGTTAACATGAGCCAGGGTATTATCATTATTCCAAATTGACCTATCTGTCGCAATAGATCTAACACCTAGTCCTAATCAATGTTTGTTTATGTCGTGATTTTAAGTTAGGTGAGGGAATCGACTGTCCTAAATTAAAATTGATTTTAGTTAAAATTGTCCCTAAAATAGTTTGTGAAACATGACTATTTTAAGTTAAGATAAAATTTTAACAAATGTTTTAGTGGATTTTATCTAAAATGCTTAAAATTGTTGTGTGAAACTCACTTTAGGTTAAAATTAAATTTTAGTTTAAGCCAATTTTAAGGAGATTTAAGTTTCTGTTAAACAGGGCCCTGTTTCTCGAAATCTTAACTAAAGATAAAATCCAAATTTTAGTAGATACTTCAATTTTGATTGGCTAAGCACTAAAATCAATCTAATATTATCCAATCAATTTACTAAAATTTGTATTTTATCTTAGTTAAAATTTTGTGAAACAGGCCCCTGGTCCCAGAGACCAGTCTCTTCAGCAGTTGACTGATCAACAGTATTGAAGGCAATATATAGTTTGAATGCTTTGCACTATTTAATACAAAAAATCAACAAGTAATATAGGTAAACAGACAGTGCAAACAGCATGTGTATATATAAGTAAATTTGTTAAGAACCCACAAGATACCAAACAGAATATAAGGCAATCTCACTAGATCTTGGAATGTAGCCATACATGTAACTATCTTCTTAACTTCTGATACTACTTCACCTCACTTTAAATAGATTTTTCAGTAACATTTAATCTTGACTGCCTACACTCTATACAAGATTACCAACATCAAATTATACAATAAATTTGTTTATGAATATAAAGTAGCACAAAATCATAAGTTAACCATAACAGATAATTCACCTATTTAACTTAAGATATGCAAATAGATGACTCTATGTGTTTGGAATTATAAATTATATACCAAAGTTAAACATTGTCTGTGACACCTATTTATATGCCATGCCTGAAAGTTCTAAACTATTGTCATGCAATGTCAGGATTAAAATTTTGAGCTTATGATTATAATGTATGGGTGTGGGCCGAATTTCTTAATCAGATGTTAAAAATGTTATGTGTACCATACTTCTGATTGCAAAGATATAAAATTGTATGTCATTTAAATGTTTCCCATAAAATATCTCTACGGGGTATGTCCCAATCAGTGATATTTTGGTCAAATATTATAATAGATTTTGTCAGACAAAAGGACCTTTTTTGGTTTAATTTTATTGATAAATTCTGTCAACAATTTTACAGCAACCCATATCACATAGGGTCCATTACATCTATGGACAGAAGTCCTTAGCAATTGTCTGATATCTAAATACACAAGCGCAGGTAAATTTTTGTTAATTCTGTTTCCATTTACCGAATCATGCCAAGTAATCTGTCTGTGGGAGACAAGGTTACACACAGTCACGAAAACATTGATCTTATTGCTCATTCAATAAAGACATACACATTCTGTAAGCACAACAAGAAATCAAGTGTTAATGGATAAACTACATGTATTAGGGCAATCAATTACACTGGACACTAGAGTTGAATTCGGGACCTGATGATTTGTGGTAATTGTAGCAGATTAACTATGTGCAGATCCTTGCCATTCTACCATATAAATTCAGACTTTCAGACTATAAGGAGTGTTGACATTCTTCAGTTATCCACAGATAAGGAAATATATCATTAATATATTAGTCTTATGACTATATGATGGTTACTCAACCTTTCAGATACTTATCAATCAAATTAGAAAATTATCTTTCTGCAGTTAAAATGAATTTTTCATGACATTAATATTTCTCCATTATGTATAGAAATCTATGACTCATCCCAGAGATGACCAATGATTTGACAGATGTGACCTTCATATTTACATCAATATTACTTTGGTCTATCAAAAATAGTTCATCAAGTAACCCTGTCTGTATCAAATGGAGTAAATTGACAGGATATTAAGTGAATTATATGTTTTTATGGCTTTAAAATATCGACAGATTATCTGATCAGAATATGTCTATTCAGTAATAATACAAGTTGTGATTTTAAACAGTTATTTTGTTTCGTTGATTTCATGAAATGTGGTTGTATATTGTTGTTACCCTCATTCATCATCCACAATTGCTTTGTAGATGCTCTAGAGAATAAAGTTAAAGTTGGAGTTAACACCCATGATCAATTCAAAATATTGAATAAAATAAGAGACTAAAATTTCATCTGAAATACTTTCAATTGATATGTAGTGTTTACGTTCATGAATGAAAGAGCTAATGTTATTCTCCCATTCACTTGAACATGACACACAGTGTTACAGTACATGGGATACCGAATCCTATTCATTTTCAACAATTATGGCCCTCAATCAATTTTTAAAATGTTGTGGATGCCCTAAAGTTATCAACCAATTGACTTAACATTTATACACAGTGTTTATGTTCATGAGACAAAGAATCCTATTGATTTATGAGGATTTTCGATAATGTGCTAATATTGGATGTTAAAAAAATGTGCATGTGTATGCACTTTATGCAGTATATTATATATAAAGGTACTACAAAGTAAAGAAATGTGCATGCCCTGCTCTAGCTGAAGCTGGTTATTTGAAGTCGACTACCATAGTCCAGAGAAAGTCATGAAAAGCTAGCTCTGAAAATAAGTCTTCTCAAAGACAGGTACATGTATTGAGCTGGGGTTTTGAAACTCGCTAAACTTTTGAACAGCATATTAACTCTAAAATTTGTCAGCAAAATGTTCTGAATTTTAAAAGGGGTCTTCCTTAGGACTCTGTGAACAATCCATGTGAATTGGAAAAGAATTATATCCCGGACCTGTGGTGACAAAAATATATATGTGGGCATATAGTGTACAAAACAAAGCACCAATTAAATCCAAATGTTAAATAGACAGTACAGCACTAACTGTGAAAGAAAAAATCACAGAACAGTGGAGAACAACACAGACAATTCAAAATGTCAAAGTGACTCTACAGCTCTTAACTGTTAAATAATATTAATATTATTTCATACTTGCTGTCATTAGTCAATTTAGAATGATTATTGCCTTATTCAAATCTGATAAATAGTGTGATTTTTATAAACAAGGTTTTTTTTACTGAGAACGAATAATCCCCTTTTTTCATTAATGCCATTCATGTCTGACAGACAATCCATGTATCTGCCAAGTTGATTACACAGGTTAGGGTAACTAGATCAGTCACAGTGTAGTTTTGATTACATAACAATGGTTGGTGTTTAATACAGGCATCGGTATAGTGTAATATAAAGATTTGGATGCCACACATACTGTAGACTGGCATCACCTGGGTAGAAGATCAGCATTTATAGCACTGACGCTGACAGCATACATTGTAAAAATTGTATACCTACATTATAGAAAGGAGAAGAAATGACTTATTGTTTGGCTAAGGTGAAATGTTTACACTTTGCACTGATTTTCTTGGTTGCAATTTCTTTTAGTTTAGATTTACCTATAGATAAATAACATCAGAAGAAAAAGTCTTCATATGTTATGGCAGCAACTATTCCTACATGTACATGTATTTCAAGTAATTCCTTTTGATAAATGCAGATAAATTTCTGTGCAATTATATTACTAAACTATTTTCTTGGACAGTTCATCACATTTCTCTATTTTCCATGTCCAAACATTTGATTTCTCGGTGGTACATGTAATAGTACATTTGATATCTAAACATTAGGTAGATCATTGAAACCTCTGATGACATTATGTTATTTCTTTGATTGTCAGGAGTTTATCTTGGAGCATTATTTTCAAATAGCATTATGGCAGAAACTTTTAATAGAGCTCCTTATGTGGCTTTTGGGGCCCCATATTTCCCTTCTTCCAGTACTAAATCCAACACCCACAGAACTTTTCATATTTAAAGAGGATTTATCCAAATTTTAATCATTAATTCAAGAAAGATTGGCTTAAAATACCAGTGCTTTACTTTGATGTAATACATTCAATAAAAGAAAGATGGGCATAATTTTTACAGACTTTAATCAGATGCAGATCAGCAAATTTGAGTGAAGTCCAAGTTAACTTTGAGAATTATGGCCTTAGGGTCTAGATAATTATTTACAGACACAACACCTGAAGTACAGGTGTTCCAGATGTTGATAAAATCTATAATTTACATAAACTCACTTGATCTTACTGAGATAAAAAAAAAATCAGATAAAATGGTATGTCCTGATGCCCCCAGAATTAAGTCCATGCTTAAACATATCACAACTTCAACAATCAACATCATTTCAGTTTATAATTTACATAAACACACTTAATCTTATAGGGGTAAAAAAAAATGTGAATTCATTTTGTTTTACACAGACTGGTGCACCCTCCATTATAATTTAATTTTATAGCAGGTTTAGCATAATACCAGTGATGTATTATTTTCAATGAGGACAGAGACCATGCCCCACCTTCTTTTTTCTTTTTTTATCAGACATGCTCAATAACTGTCTTAATCCAAATGAAAGAAAAGGAATAGCGTTTAATGGTTTGGTCAATTTGAGATTAACATAGTTATTGTTTATTTCTATGGTCACGTGTGCAATGCTAAGTGGGAGGGGGGGGATTTGACCCACTGTCAATGAATTCCACATGTACAGTGTATGTGTATGCCGATGTGTACACTGGTGGACCTTGTTTTTTGTCCCATACGAAAAACCAGGAAACACCTTTGTCAGCCCTGCTGGCACTCTCCCTGACAAGTAGGAACTGGCCTTGAAATTGTTTCAGAAGATCGATTCTACAGTAAAATGTTACTTTCGAATAATCATTTTAAAATTAAAGATAACTTACCTGTACATGAATGGAATGTATACCTCCTGTATCACGATCTACCCTTAATATATGAGTTCCATTACTAACATATACTCCATTACCTGAAATAGGGATCATATTATAGACAAAGGTTACCTGTAGAGAATGAAGCAATTAAGCAAGTATACATCAGATTTGTCATCCTGATAGATAATGAATATTGAATATATTGAAAATTTCAGTAATTACAGTATTCTGAGCAAAGTTATAAGTGTTTGAAGTTTTGACAAGAAATAGCTGATCATTGGCAGATGAAAACCCTGCAAAAGGTTATATTCTCGATTGTCAAGAAATATTGCCATGATAATAATTGATGTCTCAAATTTTCAGTCCTTTAATTGGCAGTCTTTAGCCATATTAGCATTTAACACAGATATGGTGGGCATTGTCTAATCCACTGAATATCTAAGCCATCTTATAGTCTAGGGAAGTTGTTTTTGGACTTGTCATGTGCATAAATTTCTTATTTATAATTTATATAGCATTTGAGGCTAGACAAACACCATGCAATAGGTAAGTTTAGCTCTTGCATAATAAACTAGCTCCTGCTTACATGTAGTAATATTGGTAATTAACTTTGCTTTCTACAAATATATCTTACATAGATATGGTATGTATACAACACCAGCAAATACACATTTGTATACAACATAACAATATCAATCTACACCATGGTGAGATCTAATAGCCTCTATGGGATTGGTAATACACAGTCTGTACATGTATATTGAGCTGATAGATATACACAGATAATGAGGTAAATCTCTATAGAATACACAATATTCCTTAAGATACATGGACAATGTAATTGTTTGTTATCAAGTGAATACAATAAATATCAGCTACTATTACAGATAAGTCAGAAAATATATCAATCACTTGCAGTAAAATATGTGTAAGCAGTATTCAACATTAAGGGAATGGTTAAAGAGGCCTTGCCAAGGTTGGTGAACATTGGGTATTTCACTATTGGTTTCAGTCTTGGAATGGAAATGGAAATATATGCATATATAATTATCGGTAACCTAAAAAATTGATTTAAATTTATTGTCTTTTAAAAGTTATTGTTTACAAAGAATTACATGTATGGCCTGTACAAAATTATCTAGATTACCCAGTTGCTTTAATACTCCCACTGAAAAATCATGGAACATGTACATGTAAGTTAGATGTTTAACATTAACATCTCTTAAGACTTTCTGGGACTATCAAGATCTAGACAAATATAAAATCTTCAAACATGGTTTTCAAATCATAAAATGAAAGAATATTCTAAAACCATTTTCCTCTTTATTGAATCAAAGTAAATGGACTACAATATAAGGAGAAGATATGGTGGCTAACTCTGTCAACAGACAAGTGATTGTCAATATTTTATACGACTTCATCACGTTCTATATTCAATGGTTAGAATCTGGTCGAATGACTGATACACAACCTATTTCATCTTACTAAAACACTTCTATTACGCTGATGTGACTCATCAAACAGACACAATGATTATTAATTCTCTTTCCTCTTGATTTTACACAAAAACTTCTTCAGGGCATTTCGATTGAGTTAAAATATCGATAATACGTTAGAACTGTGACTAGGCTCAAGTAAGTCAGAAAAGTTCATATTACAAAGACACTGATCAAACTGTAGGTACATGTACCATATACATGTATATCATAAGGGAATAACAGGACAATTAAAATGGATTTTGATTTTTAAACTAGCACATCAGTGAGTTTTAGTTTGTATTTATGTAATATATGATACATAATATGAAGTGTTCTAGAAAACACAATGTTTTTCATACAGCTTTTGTGTGGTTCCCCATGGCCTATACATGTAGCTCACTAACCTATCTGTTGTTTTCCTCCCTAGTAATGTTCTATATTTCTATGTTATTAAGAATGATTGGTCATGTTTGTACACATTCTTACAGTAGTCTTACTTTTAGTTAAACTTGTTTCTTATTGACAATTAATCAATGCCCGTCTTTCAAATTCTAAAATATTAATAATTACTAAAGTATCATGAAGCGTAATAAAGATGATAAAATCAAAATTGCTACAGTATAAGGAGATCTTTTATACAAAAGCAGTTAAGGAAAGTGTGATGTGTAAAGCAACTTATATCTAGTTTGTAGACTGAACTATCAAATATCAGTTTGAAGAGCTGTTTCTTTGATCTATATAATCAAAGAACAGTAAAGGAAACATCTATACTCAGCTGTAACCTACAGCCAATGTGACCACTGGCTAGACTATTTTTCCTTACATGAAGAATCTAACTTCTTATACCAGTTCATTAAGCTTACCAACTGAAAGGAAATACCTTATAACTCGACTGTCATTATATAACAGCTCTTCTAGAAAAGCGCTGAATGACAATAAGCATCTCAGAACAGTACATGTCCCCTACTGGCACCTTCAAATTTCACAATGCATGCATCTGTAAGACTAAATCTAGGAATACATTTCTGTGAATATATAATCCAAATACATACTGATAGAATAAATTTTGTAAAATGAAATTTTCACTGAACTGGTCCTAATCTCCACTATGTAAAACTAAATTTCTATCAAATACCTCCATGTTTAACCTAACAATTCCGAAAAAAAACAGAATTGGGTGACCAATTCCGTTAAATATATTGAGAAATATTACTGGGATTACATTTTCATTCGGAGAAATAACACTGGGATTACATGTTCATTTGCTTTAAACTTGTGCATGCTTCGGCATAATTGTTGTTCCCAGAGCATGAAATGTTTCAGTAATGCTCTGAGCCTGAATAGCAAAATTATCTAGAGCACTGATCAATACCAATAAAATGTGCTTGGGACTATTTTCACCCACAGTACAATGTATCTCATTTTACAGCAGATAGTAATGAAATAAGATTATTTTCTTTGTTATAAATCAATGTCAGACCAAAATTTATTCTGCCTTTAATTATTGTATATTACTGCTTTTATGTTCAGTTGCTTATCCCATGTGACTGGTGAGCACAATTATGTAATTGAGGAGATGTTGCTGAATACTATATTTTGGCTGTGGTCCGAACATTTCCCAAATTAACTGGTATAAAAAGTATCAGTTATTGTCAAGAATGTAAAGAGTTATTACCAGTAGGGTAAAGCTATTACAGCATGATAGTATTTTAATGTAAAGATCAGTTTCCAGGCAACGAAAAATAGCCCCCACATCAGTTTAGTTGTTTAAGAAGTCCATAAAGGTTTCAATATTTTTCATTTTTTGTAGTTTATAATAACAAGAGCATTTTAATGTACCAGACACTAGAAACTCATCATGAGCATCAACCTATAAAGTAATATCAGAAATCTTTCACGGTGATTAAGAGCAATAACTCCAATAGTAATTATCGGAAATTGATGAAAATCAATAGGATTCTGTGTCTCTATTATATCAAATGACATGTCAATTGGATGATAACTTTAACCTCTTGAATGTCCCCAACTGAATGGACAAACAGGAAATGAATTTTTTATTGCTATCTAGAAATGAAATGGGGTTTTACATCCTACTGTTCTGCACCAACTTGACTAATAAAGACAGCCATTCTTTTACGGGCAAGGCTGCATGCTGCCACTGAGTGCAGCAAAGCTCTTTTTTTTCATTCCATCCAATTGAATAGGCACTGTTCCATGTATTGCCCTCTGTTTTGCAAGGGGAAACCATTCTGGAAAATCCTCAGGAATTTTTTGATCATTCATAAGATAAATTTAAAGCACTGATCTAATGTATTTTCTCAATATCTAATTTAAAAGTAGTAGGTTATGTAGTCCAAGTACCTGGTAACATTAAACTAAATATAACACCTTTATCTACTACTCGGTTAATAACATGAATGGATAAGCCAGTCAAAATATTATGTTCACATGAAGGATTTTTAGTTTGTGCTTTTGGACAACTTCCAATTTTTAGACAGGAAAAATAAATTTGCAGTTTTCTTCAATATTAATCCTGTAAGGATTCTTGACAAAACGGTACATTCATTGATTTGAAAAGAACATATTATTTTTACTTATAAAGATGCCTTTGTGGATTGCATCCTGTATTTTTCTCAAAAAGACAGTTTACTTTCACAATACATAATGACGAATTATAGAGGGTCACTTTTCATCAAAAATAATCATATCAAATTTGAGAATTTTCATGTCTATGCCAACCTGTGGGTGGACCGATAGAAACTAAATATTAATTATCAACTGATTGAATCTGAAAATTACTAAAAGACTGATTGAATTAAACCATATGTTAGTCCTGAAATGACCTGGTTTGTGTCGAGTCGATGTTAAACCCCATTTTTTTCTCTCTCTCGCTCTCTCTCTAATTGAATCTGAATATCACTTGTAGACTGACTGAATTTGAATATAACATGTACTTGCAGATTGACTGAATCTGAATGTTACTTGCAGACTCAATGAATCTGAATATTACTTGCAAAGTGATTGAATCAGAATATAACTTGCAGAATTGATTGAATTGGAATATTACTTGCAGATTGATTGAATCAGAATACTACTTGCAGACTGAATCAGAATATTACTTGCTTTAAGCAACCACAAGCAGCTATTCTTAAACATAAATGATGCAAGAGCTAAATCTGCCTATTGCAGGTCTTTCATTAGACTTGAAATGTTATATAAACTATTAATAAGACCTTTATTAACATGAAAAGACCTTAAGCCAGTCTCGATGCCATCTTATGTATCAGATTTTCACTGGATTTGAATCCGATCTGCTGCTCAACACTCATTGATGTTTAAATCAGAAAATGGATAATCGAGACTATGTTTTTTATCATACCGACTTTAGTAATGATAATCCAGACTAGGCCTAAAAAATTTAATCGCTAATATCTTGGTGCAGTGAGGAGCAATTAGGCTGAAATTGTCAGCATATTCCCTTTACATTATCTAGTTTTTATCTAATATAGTGACAACTGCCAGCTCTTTATCTATTCTTCCATAATTCCCCTTTAACTGGAAGTTACCCATTGTGTCATGTTTCATTTCTTATCTTATCACTGCATGCCAGTGAACAG